CCGCAGGCACCGGACATCGCCCGCGGACCCCGACCGATATTCGCGACCTGGCGCAACCCACCGGAATTAATTAAATGCCGGCCACCTATTAAATCCGGCATTTTTAATCCGCGGCCAATTCGCGAGCCCGGCCCGAAAATTGGGCGCCGGCCAACAAAAGCGAAGAAAGCCGACCGGATGAAACGCCCCCCCGGGTCCTGTCGATCGTGACGTCGAATGGACGTGGAACGACCAAAAGGGGAGAAAAGCGGCGTGAAAGGTACGACTTCCGGAATAGACCCCCCCGGGGATTGCCGCGCGGTGTAACCGCTGGCGACGTTCGTTCCTGCTTCGTCTTTGCCAAAAACCGCGCGCGAGCGCCGTTAACGGCAGTTCTTATTAAATTCCCCCGATAATCCTCGCGGTGCCTTTACAAATGCGGGGGCGGGTTCGTCGGAGCCCAATGATATCGCGAGAGGGAGCTCTCGCGAGGCTCAAACCAGGCTTTGGGGTGCGCTCGCGTTCGGGAATCTTAACCTCTCTAACCTCGCCGCGAGGGGCACGCGAGGCAAGCGAGAACTTTGAGATATCGAGCGGGGCGAGCTCGCGAGCTCGCGGTATGAATCCCTAATCCGGCCTCGGATGCGAGGCAACCGGCAATTTCGAGGGAGCGTCTCTCGCGAGCGACGTCGAGCACGGTTTTGTCACGCTTTTGTCGCGGTTTCGTCGAAACGACTCGCGCGACGCGGCCCGTCGCGGAAAATTGCTGGGAAATTGCCAGGGTACGGAGGTTCCTCTCCCTCGATGGCGGGCGGCGATCGGGGGGTGGCCATGATCGGGGCAAAATTGAATTTAGTAATTCCCTCATTGTTTTATCGAGTGCCCGATAACGGGGCCGTATATGCGGCGTGCCGAGAGCGTCGTCTCCCTCCCTTTTAACGAGCGAAATCCGCCTAACGACCCGGCAACGAGGCAGCGCTGAAAAAAGAGACGGAGATAGAGGGAGCGAAAAACAAAGGGTAAAACTCCCTCGTCTAAGGGATAACGACGGTAGGAATCCTTCTCCCGGGAGGTATGGAAATCGAAGGTTCGGGCTTCCGATTGGCCCGATTTCGGTAATCCGCGACTAATCGAAGCTCGCGTCCCCCGTAAACCGGGCCGACCCGAAACGTATTTGGCGCGACGCTCTCCGGGCCCCTCCATGTTTCTTCTCGGACGTCGAGGTCGCGACGAGCGACAGGTCGCTCATCCGGACTAGAAAGACCCTTTCTCGGTCGATCGTTCCACGGAAGAAGAGATCGAGGAAAAAATAGCCTTTACGAAGATCGGAGTATCGCGTTAGTTCCGATGAAACGATCGTTTGACGGCTCGAAGGGACAAAACGGAAAACGAGAACCAGGGGCCGGAACGCGGGACGAAGAAAAAGTTCCAAACCGTGTGTGTACGCGACGCCGAAGCCACCCAACAAAAAGCGGCAGCGTCGACGCCGTCCTTTTTCCGCCGACCCATCTAATTTTACCCGTAACATCCAATATCTCGAAAGCCCGTTGATATTCACGGCAAGCTTTAGGGGGTTGGGGTGGCCATCGCCTATAGGCATTTTAACGCTACATGGCACTTCCGCTACAACGCGTCCACCTTCCGGTACAACGATAAATTGTCCCTTTTCGAAACGGCAGTATTTTTAAATCCTTCGGATCTCCCCCGAAACGACATCGAGTACGCGAATCGAGCAGCCCTCGACGCCATTGAAAAAACAAGCAAAAAATATTTCGCCGAGGCCTTAATCGAGAGATCCGACGATCCGGATCGCGGACGTGCCCTGGATGCCGCGCCCGGATGCGTATTAAAATTACGCCCATCCAATTCCCAGTGGCAGGAACGGTCTCCGGATAGACGAGAACAAGGAAATCTCGTTCGCTATCGATTCGCGGAGAAAGCGAGCAAAGGAGCCGGCTCGCCGGAGCACGAAGTTACCGACGAAGATAGCCCTAGGGGGGCTAATCTCCCTAGGATCGAGCTAGGCGCTAATCGAGGCCCGAGCAATTAATTTGAGCACGCACCGTACGCACGGCGTCCTACACCTACGCGATAGGGCGCATCGGGGAAGGGGGATGAAATCGAGGTCTTCGATCGGGAGGCTAGTGGGTGGAGACGGGGGCAGAGCGCCCCACCGTCGATCGATCGCTTCGACCGGCCGCCACTCCTGCGGGGGCGCTGGGAGCGCGCCGTCGCGCCGTCGCGCTTGCGCGGACCGGCGCGATTAATGCGCACGGCCATCGTTTAAATAAAAACCCCGGATCGACTCGGAATTAAAAAGAGCGTATCCGTCCTCATCGCGCGTACGCGCTTCCTTATCCTCTATAAGGACGGGTCGGACATTTTCTCCGACCGTCTGCACTATGAAAGACGCGGACTTGGAAACAAAACGCATTTAAAGTTTCCGTCATTCCGGCACCGTATAGCACGGCGCGGCCAGCGCACCGGAAACGGGAAAGGAGCCAATCGCGGAGCGCCCAACGGATCCGGGAGAAAATTGAAAAAGTCGCAGATGCGAAAGAACGGGAGGACGGAGATCCTCCGGCATTTGAAACACCCTCGGACTTCGAAAGCGCGTCCCGACCGCGAATACGCGGCCGGCCACCCGATACGCGGTCGCCGGTCGAATCGGTCAATTCGTTTCAACGAGTCCGCCCGTAACGAAGCATTTTTTCTCCGGCTTAATTCGGTTTCGGCCCGGCCGGCGACCGCGGCGTCATCGACGTCCGCCAACTATCGACGCGAACCGAACGAAACTTCGAAAGTAGACAAATATTTCGATCTTCTCGAAACTAACCCTCGTAACTGGGATAAGTATGGAACGACCCTTTCGTATCACCTTAATCCTTGCGATTCCACCCGACTCGTCCCTCGCGGAAAACCGTGTTCATTTATAATTGTACGTCGCGGTCGTTTGGCAGTTCGTCGGATGGACTGATGCCAACCCACTTTTTACCGGCAAACGGGAAACTTGTTGATTCCCGGCACTCGTCGAGTTAAAAGATGCCCAAAGAATGGTCTTCTTAAAACACAGGAAAAAAATTATTCGGACGCCGCCATCGACCGGGGGGTCGACGGGACGTTACCCTATCGAACCGCGACACGGTTGCTCGGTCATTTCCCGGACCCTGCTCAAAACCTGCTGACCGCGGGCGAATTTCAATTGCACATTCATGGGCTAATTTTTCACGGGGAGCCGATCCGCATACCGGCTCATCGAATTTCGGGACCCCCCGTTGAAAGTTCACGGGATTTCCCGGAAAGCATCCAAACACGGAAAACCGCTGTTTTGATCTCCGTCTCGGTCTACGTCGATTCTACCGGCGTCACTTCGAGGAGTTTCCGTTCTTACCGAAGAGGTACAAAGTCGGAATGAAGACGAACCGAGTTGGACGAGTCGCGGAGTCATCGTTCGACTCAAGGAAGGTGGTCGGTCCCGATCTTTCATTCCCGCTTTTTCCCAATATCTCGCTTTTCTTACCTCGCCGTTCGCCGGCGTCTTTTATTCATGGAAATATTTAAAATTCCGATTGTAAGATATATACCCTCGTCCCCGCCGCCCTCCGCCGATTCCCGCGAATTTCAATCTTCCGTTCGTTCCTTTGCTTTCTCCGGCTCCCTTTTCCCTTTGTCTACTCCGGCGGTATTGCGCGTCCCGTTTGTACACTGGCGGTCATGAATGACTTACGAGTGTACATGACGGCGAGTTTAAATGCGCGTAAATGCTGGGCGGGTACGAGTGGGTACGCGCTGATTGTCTCATTAAAAATTCAACCTTGCAGCTAGTTCGCGGATCGGTGCCATCTTTAGGGGAGTAGCAGAGGGAATCCTTACCTTGGATTTTACATCGAGCACCCAGGTGATAGCCGGATACTCTACGAGGTCTCAACATGAAGGAACGAGAGGAGCTGACGACAAGACTGGACAATTTGTTAATGTTCTTTAAAAGAAGCTCAAAAATGTATGTAGTTATGGTACCTGAGGTATAATAAACTGTAAAATAATTAATGTAATAAAGCAACTTATTGAACAATAACAATGAGTACGTTTAATTAGACGAGTATGTCTAGCAAACCCTCCAATCGCCTATTCCTGATCCTTGAAAATCACTCGTAGATCTAAGGCACGAAACTCGGCGCCACCTCCTCGGTTGTCCTATGATCCTGTTAGAAATCGGAAATTTCAACCCCTAAAATTTTTGCCCGGGAGAAACTCCGTGCCACCTCCTCGGTTATCCTATGATCCTGTTAGAAATCGGAAATTTCAACCCCTAAAATTTTTGCCCAGGAGAATTCCATGCCACCTCCTCGGTTATCCTATGTTCCTGTTAAAAATCGGAAATTTCAACCCCTAAAATTCTTGCCCCGGAGAAACTCCGTGCCACCTCCTCGGTTATCCTATGTTCCTGTTAAAAATCGGAAATTTCAACCCCTAAAATTCTTGCCCCGGAGAAACTCCGTGCCACCTCCTCGGTTATCCTATGTTCCTGTTAAAAATCGGAAATTTCAACCCCTAAAATTTTTGCCCGGGAGAATTCCATGCCACCTCGGTTGTTCTATGTTCCTGTTACAAATCGCCAGAGATGGAACAGGATCATAGGACAACCGAGGAGGTGGCACGGAATTCTCCTGGGCAAGAATTTTAGGGGTTGAAATTTCCGATTTTTAACAGGATCATAGGACAACCGAGGAGGTGGCACAGATTTTCGTGCCACCTCCTCGGTTGTCCTATGATCCTATTCCACCTCGGGCGATTTGTAACAGGAACATAGAACTACCGAGGAGGTAGCTCGGAATTTTCCCGGGCAAAAATTTTAGAGGTTGAAATTTCCGATTTCTAACAGGATCATAGGACAACCGAGGAGATGGCACCGAGTTTCGTGCCTTAGATTTTCAAGGATCAGGAATAGGCGATTAGAGGGTTTGCTAGACATACTCGTCTAATTAAACGTACTCATTGTTATTGTTCAATAAGTTGCTTTATTACATTAATTATTTTACAGTTTATTATACCTTAGGTACCGCAAGTACATACATTTTTGAGCTTCTTTAAAAGAATATTAACAAATTGTCCAGTCTTGTCGTCAGCTCCTTTCGTTTCTTCCGAGACGTCGCTCTCGCAAGGCAAAATGGCTGAGTTCGAACCGATCTCCTTCTTCTTCTCGAGAGAGGTCTTTTCCAAGTCCCACTATAGTCGTTCCTGACGTCGTTACCGCCTTAATCTATTCTCCTGCGGACTTTCGACACCGTCAACCCAGTGAACTCTTCTTTTAGCAAGTCGTATCCTGGGATGCGGTGACGTCAGCGAAGAGCGCCTCCTCGGAATAACGAGATGTGGCGGGTCACCGTCATCCTCGAGGAAGAGTCTTCTCTCGGTCCCCCAAGAGGGGAAATATATAAATGATTCGAGCAGTCGGCTAATTAACCGGCTCATTCGCGAATGCCGAGAGTCTTAAGTGGCTCCGAGGGGTTTCCGTCCAAGCGGGGATGCAAGGAGGTCGAGCGGAATCCCATTTCCGGGCATTTAAATCCCGATATCGCCAAGGGTCGAGGGTGCTGCAGACGACGACGAGGGCCAGTCGGAAAAGAGCCTTCGTTATTCCCCGCTAAAGTCCCGCGGCAACCCGGGCCAACTCCTTTTATTAGCCGGCTCCGCGTTAATTAATTACTCGCAACCTGTGCCTCCGTCCTGCGACCCTCGCTTTGGGTGCAGCGATATCTACGAGATACGATGTTGTCTCCGTTTTGCAACGTTTTGGAATAGCGATCTATTTACATTCCTCCTATGAATTAGCCTCACTCCGTATAATAAAATGTACAACCTTATGAATATTTTTATCGTCACTTCAGCTTCAGTGCACCAGATCCATGTTCTTCTTCTTCTTCTTCTTCATCGGTATCGGTCCCGGGGTCTTGAATACCGTGCTACAAAGGAAATTCCTCGTAATTAATAAATAATCGATACTTAACCGAAGGTAGAACTAACGAGCGCCAGCCTTGATTTGCTAGAGCTAGAATTTCGTTAATCCAGAACCGTAATTAATTCTTAATGCGACTATTGATCAAACGTGAAACTAAATGTAAAAAATGAACCACTTCACTCGTTAGATCTACGGCCTAATTTACAGCTGATCGGATGATCGATACTCACTGGCAAGTTGTGCAAATTGGGCTGAACTTGCAAAAAACTGTAAACAAAATTTACGATAAGTGTATGAAATGATTAGATATTTTTAATTAGAGTGTAATTAATTATTTTTACCAGAGAGGCACACGGAGCACACGTAGCCAATGTCGATCAACTCCTGATGACAAAAACAAGCAGCCCTGTAGTCGACTTTAACCGGTGGTGGCAGAACGAGCTTCGATCGTATGTTAGGATCTGGTAGAAACACCCACTGAAAGAAATAAATCCAACCAATAATTACCTTAACTACAAAGCTTGGAGTATTAATTATGAAAAGTGGATATATTAACCAAATTCAAGCATTACCAATAAATATTGTAATAAACCAGCAACCTGTGGAATTTTCAAATAATTTCCACCCGTTATGTCACAACCTTGTTCCAACAACGTTAACTCGTGATCGAGACTGCACACATCCAGTATAATACCCTGCATGCATGAAACGATACATTTCATACGTACTGTAATCTTATTCATTAAGTTCATTGATTTAAAAAGAACGAACCATCTTTTGAGCAGTGAAAAATATATTCATATAGTTCATGTATTGCGATGCCGAGTCGTTACTGGCAGTCACTACCAGTATCCTTGAATTTAACTTTTCACCCGGGCCCTTTTCCTGTTCCATTCTTGAGATGTAACATAGTCCAATAGCGAGTGCCCCAGAGATTAAACTCTCCACATATTGTGGCTTATCGGTAGGCATTTCATTAATTGCCTGTTGAAGTCGCTGTCTCACAGTGCGTTCAACCAGGGTAAATTTTTCATATTGACCATCGACTTGTCGAACCTCGGTTAGTCTATCGTCAGGGTACAAAAACTTAGACCCATAAGCATCGCATGTCATTATGGCAAGTTCATTATTTGACTTCTGCATCAGATGTGCATTAGCGAATACTATTATAGAGTCCAGGCACTGCGTTAACACTTTAGTTTCTTGTTTAACGATTCTTTGCATAGGGTTGACATCGAGTACAACTACCAACAGACTTTTCTCTATTTCTACATAACAAACAAGAAATTACATATAAATTACTCCACACATACACAAAGAATTCTATTTGTAAGGTTATCTTTTACTTCACCATTATTCCACGTATTTTCAAACCCTATATTTTAACATCGTTTGTATAAGGAAACTTACCAACAGTTATGGTCGAACTTGTATCCGATATTAGTCCTTTCAGCATTTCGAATAATTTATATTTTGTCTCAAATGTCTTGAAACCGGCAAACAAACTCAAAACTACTCGAAACCGTTCAAAACTGCCACAGCCAATTCTACCGCCCCTACTGACTAAACTTAACCTAGAATGGTTAGTCATTATAGCTGACCTGTACCGGCGCTGCTATCGCAATCTTCATACACTTTTCTGAACTATCAAACAAAAATGCGAAAACTCGGTAGATAATTACCGATGAGTACCTGTTGCTACTCTGATAAGAACTCGAATGATAAACCCTCTTAATACTGAGACTGCAAATTTTTTCGACAATGAGTATTTCATATTGTATCGTTACGTCGATACAGTGGAACTCAACATAAAATTTAATCGAGTAATCATAACCTGTTACAGCTAGGAAGGACAACATGGCACGTAGACTGCTTTTTAGGAACTGGTATACATTTTTTTCCATGTGTCATCGTCGGGAATGGCAGAACAGAATTTTGAGTTTACAATGTTTTGGTGCTGGTTTATTGACTGCTGGTGTAATTGCTCATAATGTATCCCATGTACAAGTTCAAGCGGCATCTACAGATATAGATGTTAACAAATTTATGTCGAAACCTATCACAGACATAAGCATATTGCAAAACAATCAGGAAGATATGAAAACTAAAATGGAACTATTGATCTTAAAAATTCAGGCAGATTTTTGCAAAGAATTGGAAGCATTAGAAGATGAAGATCGCTTTATAGTCGATCGATGGACAAGGAAAGAAGGTGGAGGAGGCATAACTTGTGTTCTACAGAATGGAACGGTATTTGAAAAAGCTGGCGTTAACATATCCGTTGTAACAGGATCTCTACCGTCAAATGCTGTCGAACAAATGAGGGCTCGAGGTAAAAAATTAGACCAATCCACGTCACTACCGTTCTTTGCAGCTGGTATAAGCGCTGTAATACACCCCAGAAACCCAATGGTACCGACGATACATTTCAATTACCGATACTTTGAGGTTCAAAACAAGGATGGTTCGATACAATGGTGGTTTGGCGGTGGAACCGACTTAACCCCTTATTACTTGAATGAAAGAGATGCAGAGCACTTCCATCGAACCTTGAAATCAGCTTGTGATGACCACGATCCTACGTATTATCCAAAATTTAAAAAATGGTGCGATGACTACTTCTATATTCCACATAGAAATGAAAGACGAGGCATTGGAGGAATTTTTTTTGATGATTTGGATACACCAAGTCAAAACAGAGCATTCCAGTTTGTAAAGTCCTGTGCCAAAGCTGTTATACCTTCCTACATACCATTAGTCGTCAATCATAAAGATGATGGCTATGGGTACAACGAACGACAGTGGCAATTACTGCGTAGAGGAAGATATGTAGAATTTAATTTGATATACGATAGAGGAACCAAGTTTGGACTGTACACTCCAGGTGCCCGTTATGAAAGTATTCTTATGTCCTTGCCATTGAATGCCATGTGGCAATATATGCACGAACCTGCTAAGGATTCTAAAGAAGCAGAACTAATAAAGGTACTTAAAGAACCAAAAAATTGGCTTAAAATTGAATCTTCATAAGTGTATATAGATATATAAGGTGGTGGGAGACTGAGCAAATAAAGTTTAAGATAACCACAGTGTAAAATATTTCAAATAAAAAATTCTCTTAAAAGTATAAGTATACTTGCAATGTATGTTATTGTAATGATATAAACAGGAATGACATTGCAAAATATGTGATGAAAAAGGTCATTCGGTTAAATGTTAAATTCATTTTCAATAAAACTAAGAATCATAAATTTATAACTGCACCGCAAGCGTCCTTATAGCTTCCTTCACTTCATTATACAATTCTTCGTAATCTTCATGCTTTTTAATAAGCACTATGAGACTGCCCCGTTTGACTCCCATAGCAGCCCCAATTTCTTGCCTAGATGGTGTGTAACAATATGGGATATCCTTGTCCTCACATATAACAGGTAAATGGCACATCACTTCTACCGGAAATACATCCGCAGCAAATATTACCAGCCTATAAATTCCCCAACACGTTAACAGATTAACATCCATGCAGTAGATATCACTTTGTGGTAATAAAAGAATACACAATAACAAATTAAATAACAATTACCCCGTCTCCCCTTTTCGTAAGTGCTTTTGTACATCCTTAAGTCCATTCCGGAGATATGATTTTTGTTTTGATGCTAAAAATCGTAAAATTACACTATTATAAGTGGTAAAAAATAAAACAATTATTACGCTCGAGAACCTTTTCAAATAACCTAACCTCAATTAATGAAACAGAACACGTGCACTTGCCTTTCTTTATACATTTATATATTTTCTTGGTCAACTTCTTCGGCGCCATAGGCTTTGCTATTGGACTGAGAAATAGAGGTTTTTCGTCGACAGGTACCTCTTCCATTTTAAATTAAACTCGATTCGAGAAAACAACGCGGTAAACGAATTACTTCTGCAGGCGGGAATAATTCTCGAACCGGTAGGTAACGCGTGAACCTGTAGACCATTCAACAGGGAGCATCTCCGTGCTAATTGTGGATCTACTTTACCAGAGAACCGCTTTCAGACAGCAAAACAGGAACAGGCGTTACCTACCGATCACAGGACTTCGTTCCTGAATGTTACTTTTCCACCAGAAAACACGGTAAAAATAAACATGCGATTTCTCATTCAACCGAAGAAAAAAAATTAAATAAACATTTACAAATTATAAATATGACTACGCCAGCACGTCACAATGCTAATTTACAAAGGTAGAATATAAACAGCCTTACTCCAAAAATGAAAATCAAGTCAACAGCAAGTCTCATTCACCTAAATTATAAAAAATGATTTTATTGACACCTTAAATTAAAGTTACGTTAGTAGGATCATGGTAAAAGATTATATTCTATCTAGCGCTTCAAGCATGATGACACTGTTCCCTCGGATTACCTAAAAATTGATAAAAATGTACGATTGTTATTACCAACTCTATGCATCTCAAAAAAATATATATGCTACTGATCCTTGAATAGCGTACCACCATTCCAATGTTCTGTTTCACTCCATTCTTGCATTCTTCAACTGTTTCATCTATTACCATGTTCATAAATGGATCAAACCCTCGTAGGATCCCTATTACATGTCTTCCACCATTAAGTTTCACTAAATTCAAGTACAATTCCAATTATAAATTAATAAAAATAAAAGTTAATTTATTAACAAATGTACACAATTTCGTAAATATTAAACGGTACTTACATGACAGCTTCTTGTCCATATACCTGGAAAATATATATAAATGTATTATTCTTTCACCGTGGACATACAATGATTCATCATTTTCTTCTATTATAATATCACTCAAGTATAACGAGAAAAGCATTCCTTTTATTCATTCTTTTAAGTTAATGGAAGATTGCGTTATCGAACCCAAGGCGGGTAAAAGACGTGACGCCGTTGACAATATAACCTCTACTTTCTGAAACTTTAAAAGTATTGCTCATAACTTTAGATACTCACTTTTTAAGTTCTGGCGGATGTGCTTTGCTCATTTTAAAAGTTCTGTATTTGTAAAAGTCGACAAACAATATACACTACTGGCAAATCCGAAATTAAATCCGGCTAACGTATTCTTACAGAGATAAGTTGGGGACAGTTCGGAGATAACTGGAGATAACTCACGGCCTGGGACGCGCGATCGCGTTCTGTGCTGCCCTCGGCGGAAAATGCGGACGACTCGTGCACTTGTCAGCTGATACCTCCTAGAGAATCTTCTTCATCTTTGCTCCCAACTCGGAGATGAGTTGCTCATAGAGAATATGGCGTCCACTGTGATTGGTTCTAATCTCCTTCAATAGAATAGTCGTAATTTGGAAACTCCGGCGGAATCAGCCAATAAGAGTAAATAGTCCATTTGTCCACGCATAGAAAATAAATCTTAGGGACATTCGCCATTATGTTGAAGATTTAAAAAGGGTCAGGCTCCAAAGGAATTGTATACCCTCTCGTTGGCTCCTCCAGTGCTATTTCCATCGATTATGACTTGGAATAACCCGGAGAGAAACTCCGAGCTCGGATTGGTGCGATGCGGCAAAATGGCTGCCTCTTGCGCCAATCACGCTGTAGCATTGCACTTCGTTGTCTCTTAGAATTCTTTGGAGTCCTGCAAATAGAGTCGAACGAGGGTTCGATGAAAACCAAACCCCGTCCACTCGGTACATATTTTATCGTTACCGCATGCACGAATTGAGTATTAAAGTACGTACCTAATAATTTATTACTGCATGTTAAAGATTAATTTGCGAGGGCAGGAAAATCTTTAGAGAGTGAATTACTTAGAAAATCCATTTGGCGAATTTCGACAAGTTCGCGGTCAAGGAAGAAGAGGGAGTGGGGCGAAGCAATCTCGTCGGAACGTGTCTTTTCTCTCTGTCTCGCTAAATTGCAGGGAGTGGCAAAGCGAGAGACGGAGAGGGCAAATTCTGCGAGATTGCTCCTCCCTTTCCTCGAGTTCCCCTCGCCGACAGATGAATTTTGTAGGCTAGCTTGTGTATTATCGAAGAGGGTCCGACTGGTCGCCGTTCACTGCCGTCCACTCCGATGGGAAAGTGTCGATACTACACGTTGTCGAGCTGCACATTAAAATACTACACGGACCGATAAAACGCGTTCTGGTCGCTACGTAACGATAAGAACCCCTGAATAAAGAAATCTGGGGTAATTAAGGAGCTCTGCAAAAGGAAACCTTTTAGCGGCAAGAAATGCTCGAAATGATCTATACGTACACGAACCACCACCTTCAGAACTTTTTGAAAATCTTTTTTCTCTACAGTCGTTTTCACTACAGATAGTAGGAATAACGAAGAGATCCTCATCGAGTTGTAACACGGTAGATTATTATATTTACACGATTTTTTACATTACACATTATTCTTGTATCTCGCTAGAGCTCAGTAAAATCGTTGAGTCTGAATCTCTTCACGTTCTTACCTGGAAAATCATTGATTTAATTCAAAGTTCGTATTCTCACGACTGTAAATCAATGATCACAGAACAATATTTTTCTGCTTCTGAAAACCGAGACTTTTCAAAGCTAAAAAAATGAGGGGATATTTGTTTTTGTAGAAGTAGCACCATATTTACGCCAGATTTATTTCACTTACGTGGATTAAACAATTCTTACCCAATTTTGTTTCTAACTAGGGGTAGAAGTTGCTATCTCGGCGATAAATTCGGCGATATCGATGCACCGATGATGTAAGTACTCGATACTTAGATTATTATTGCAGAAGTTACAAAATAATGGTGACCACGGGACCGAAAGAGGTGGACATGCGACTACTTCTTACACTGTAAAGAATTTCGGAAAAAAATTATCGGATCGTACAACGGCAAATCGGTGGATCGTAATGCAGGGGTGATCTATGTAATTGCAACAGCGGATATATTTATTAACTAATTATTATTAATAATGATAGAGCAGGAGCTGCTGCAGTCTTGACGGCGACGGTTTCTGTAACGCTTTATTATAAGATAAAAAAAATTTAACTGTTTCCGACTTAACAGTTAAATCTACTTACGCACCAAGTACTTAAAAAAAAGCAACGGAAGCCAAAGTAACAATATACACAACATTCGTACCTTGAATTCGTGAAAATCTAAATTGTCGATTCGAAAACCATAGAAGCTGAAAAAAACGAAAATGTTGAATTTTGTCTGAGCCACTGAAAAAAAAAGTATTTTTACCGACGGTATCACCTGCAAAAATTTAAATTACATAATTGCAGCGCGAAACGACGAGAGATCGGAATGTCATATCAAATAAACAATCATGAAACACGTAGATATGGGATATTCATCCAATATATATAACAATTCGGGGTATCGGAAAATTAAGCGTAAGTACTGTAAGCACGATTCCGGCCTTGCAAGAAAATAGAGGAATTTGTATAATTTCTCAAAAATTCATGGACAAGCGTTATATTTAATGCAGGGCAGTATATGCGTTATCTGTACATAAGAAAACGTCTCACCGGAGGAGTACGTTCCCAGTTCCATTTGTATTTTCAATCATAAACTGCATATCCCGATTCGATGCGAGGGCCTTTAATTTGGCATAAAAAAAATAGCAAGTAAAAAAAAAGGAAAGTGAAGTCGACGTCCTTCCCTCGACGTCGTTAACGCGAGAAATGTTCCTGCAAACAAATTGTTAACCCGACTCGGACTCTTGCACAGGGAGAGAGAGGAAGGGAAAAAACATATAATACTACTTTGCTAAGGTATTTACACTACTATTCTACAAAACGACACTCAGGCTCAACATCCGTCTCGGCGATGATCCGCAGCCTTCGCAGCTTACTCCTTGGTTAACCCTCTGTACATCTGCCCTTCGCATCTGGAGCTACTATTTTTAATTATTAATAATAAACACCTCGCGGGAACACTTAAGTACGCAGTGTTGCTTAATCTCGACATTTTAAGGTCGCCGCGAGATACCGGAGTTCGTCTCGACTCTCGTCCCGGGCAACGAGATGCGGTAGTCCGATCGTTTATACGAAAGTTAATAAATCGATAATATTATCCACGGGTATCCTTCGCGCCGACCCTGAGAGAAGCGCTCTCGAGATTTCTTTCTCCATGATTCCAAAAGAAAGTCGAGCGGATATTTCTCGAAAGCTGCTCCGAAAATCTCTATAATTTTCCAAACCCGGTGGAAGAGTAATCCGCGAAGGAATTTGCACCCTCGTCATTACCAAAGTCTCGGTACCACTGGGACGCTTGGCGTCGCTTAATACTCGTTACTTGTAAAGTTCAGCAGATAGGCTCCGTGAGCGGTTGGTGAGGGCCATAGGGTGAGGCCCACTGGCCACTCGCGTGGACCAATGGGGTCGCTACTTGTTGGCCCTCCACGTTGGAAACCGACGAACCCGACGCGTGCGTCGTCATCGATGCCGGATACCCAATTTTTCCAAGTGCCTCGGCCTGCATAGAGAGAATCAGCCGATTCGCGGCTTGCCTCTCGGCCTCTCTTTCCTCGGCCGTTTGTCTCCTGGAAATAGAAAAGAAGGAGGAGAATTCCCGAGGTTCCGTCGGGTCCGCCTTAAATTCCCTTTCCTGTTGGGATTAGGTGTTACAATCGATTCCGGGACTGTAACACCACCCCCGCGATTTTCTGTCGACTCGGTAGGTACGATCGCAGTTATAGACGTCATTCCCTGAATTATTAAGGGCCGAGCCGAAAACGCAGGGAAGTCGAAATCACTTATGGTGCAAATTCGAAGGTTTGACAGTTTAAAAGCTAAGAAGCGGAGGACTTAAAGAGCGTGTGCGACACAAGGTTAGGCGGGGCCTAAATTATTGACGAGGCAAGGCTAAGCTATTAGCCGGCTGAATTATTAACGGGCGAGCGCCACGTCTCTGACTAAAATCATCGTTTCATCAGGGGCTGGATATCGTACCGAGTGTACTCAACTCGAGGTATCGACCTTGCCACCACCCGCAACTAGACGCTTACCGATATCGAACCGATGCCCAGGTGCACTCGGCGAATCAAAAAATCACTCGACATTCTTCCCGATGTCGGACTTCCCGGAACGGTGTCTTTCGCGATTCGCCCGATAGTTCGTAATAAATTTGCAATATTGCCCGAGCGAACCGCAGACGGAGAGTATAGCGGGGAGGACTCTAGGCGATCGGTCCAGCCGAATGAAATGCATCCCGGTATATAGCGAAGACGCCAGGCGATTAGTCAAACTGGATTAGTAGCTGCATATCGCGGCGTTATCTCGTCTCTTTCGGCAAACGACCCGAAACGAGGTAAACGAGGTAAACGAGCGCTACTCACCTCCACTTCGTCCGCCTGTTCTGGAACCAGGTTTTGACCTGGGCGTCGGTCATCTTGAGAGACGTCGCCAAAGCCGCTCTTTCGGTCGAGGCCAAATATTTCTGCTTCTGAAACCGCTTTTCCAGCTCCGCGGTTTGCAGTCTCGTGAAGCTCGTCCTTGGCTTCTTGCGTTTCGGCGGTGTCCTGTTTTGATAAGGATGGCCGATTCGTCTCGGAAATCCTCCGGCCACTGGAACGCGATTAAAAGCGCACGTTTAACCTCGCCCAATCGCGCGAGGGAATCGTCGAAAATATCTTTACGGAGATTTTTACTCTCGAGATTAAAAAAGAAAAAAGAATGGCAGGCGACGAAGAAGACGTCGGCAGAGAGTACTCAACGTGCACGGTAATTTGTTATCAGATTATCGGTTGGTTTTAAGAGTTCGGAGGTTATACCCGATCGGAACGATGGGTTGATAGGGATGACAGGAAGGGCTGTCAACGGAGCACGTGTTACATAAAGCTCGTGGCGCACTTTCGATAAGTGCGAGAGGTGATGCACCGATCAATACTCGGAGAAACAATTGCGGCGTCGAGGTAGGAGCGCGATGTAGCGGCCATTTTGTCGGCCACAGTTCCGGGACATTTACATCTACGAGGCGGCCTAATAAAACCCGCAATAGGGTCGTTCTCGGGAAAATATTGCACCGCGGGGATGATGCATCGCATCTCTGTCACGTCGGGAGAAAAAGGTACGCCACTACGGACGCGTTTGCGTCCTACCTCGCGATAAGTACTCGGGACTTGGCGCATCGTTTATTCGATAAAGGAAAATTACGACGGTTCGCGAATATTTCCGGTAATCAAAATAAATTCGACTCGACGTCGAAACGTAACGGAGAAGAAAATCCATCTCTTGGAAGCGAAAGCCCGCCCGCCCGCCGAATTACGTTTACCGCGTATTCATAATTAATGCAATAATATTATAATAACGGGCAAGAATAATTATTCGAGTCGGTATTACGCAGTAATTAATCCGGGGGGTGGATCGGTGTAGGGTAGCTCTCGAGGTGGGAGTTAGCTGATCGAGTTAACGTTAAGTTAGGGGTTTCGTTTCTCCAGGTTGGCAGTCGTAAGGAAGTACGTTTCACCGGCAGGTTAATTTCAGCCGATGCCTTATCGTCGGTCCATGTTACCTGGAGATCGATAATTCCATTTGCAATTATCTACCGAGGAGATTATATGCGAGTCATGCCAGAAGTATGAAAAATCAATCCGTTGGCAAATCACGCGATAACTACTTATAGGAACGTGATTTCCAAACATGGCGACGTTCCGGATGAAATTATTTATCCGGTTCTAATTTTATCCGGTATTCCGGATTACTCGAAACAAAGGGCCTTTTTTTTTAATAAGAGCCAGCGATCGCGCTACCCGGGTTGCAATAATTATTCAACTCGGTATTACGTAGTAATTAATCCAGAGGTAGATTAGTGTAGGGTAGCTCTTGGTGGGAGTTAACTGATTGAGTTAGCGTTAAGTTAGGGGTTTCATTGCTCGAGGTTGGCAGTCGTAAGGTCGAATAGGCTCGTCTATCATCGCCCCACTGGTTAGAGAATTAGCTGCTGTACCGGGAGAATGGAGATGTACATAATTAACGCGACTTCGGTTTAACTTTGCTGCAGGCGATTACATGACCAACCTCCCGGTACCACCCCATAGTAATTACAATTATGAAAGAACGTCCATGTGTCGTACTTGCCCGAAATATGGAGCGAATTGACGCGGTACCCGGAGGCGCGGACGAACGCCAGGTGATGCCCCCTGGAAAATGTAATGAAATCCGCGGCCCGACATTTTTCGAAAAAGGGATTTCGTGCCAACTCTCGTAAATCCCGGCGAATAAAAATCCGCGGAGGAAGGACTTGGAGTAATCGTCGGTAATTCGTCAAAGATAAATCGAATCTCGCTTAAATGGAACGTATCTTATTCGCATTGGCGCAAAATTTGCAGGTCTCGATGAAAGGGTATTAAGGATCGTTTTCACGTTGCGTTCGACTAATAAACGTTGTCCTTCCAGATTCGCGGAAAATAATTTCCCGTAATCGCGAAAAGCGTCGGTAAAATTTCGGCCTAAGTGAATGCAGGGACCGGACGGTTAAAGAATTTCATCCGAAGTATGGTGTTAGTTGCAGCAGTTCTGCTTCAGGTTTTGGTCACGCAATGCCTTTTTTCTCTGTTCCCGGTACTCGGTTATCTGTGGCCTGAGGCATTGGGCACATGGATTCCATTCCAACTTTGGCTCTTTTACTTATTTGTGTCCCTCTACGGCTCGCTTAGGCCCATTCACTCCGTACGACTCGAATTAATAAGCGCGGTCCTTCTTCCACGTCTCGAAAAAACTGCACGAAACGTCATTCGGAGGTTGCAGGTAAATCCAATTGGTGACCGCGATACAACGGTGCCAGTCCACTTTGGGATAAGGGCTATATTGAGCCGCACGGGTATGGAAATACGGTCTTTACCGCAAAGTGGATCCGTTCTCTTGCGTCGGACGGCCAAGGAATTATTCCTCGGTTTACCGAAGCATTATACGTCTTCTTGGCATACCGAACGGCCAAATACAATAGCCTCGCCATCCTAGAATCCGGATCCCTCGTTATTATCGCTCTCGTCGTGGAATAGAATTCATAATTTGTCCAGGTAATACGTCCAATTACGATATCTCAGACCGCGACCGACCCGGCACGGGACGCGACGTTTACTCCGACGTTATACGGGGGAGTATAAAAATTAATATCCAAAGGAGCGATAAAAATGCCACTCACGAATTCTCCGCAGCAACGCGCAATCACGTAGCAGGTACAATAAAAAGAATTAAGGTCTTGAAACGCTCCGGAAGGCGACCGCTCAGCCCTAAAACTACCCCAGCATTGTACGCGAAACACATGAAGGATGATTAATTAAACAGGGGGGGTGAAGTCATAGGGGACGAACGGCGCGATCCCGTCTTGTAAAGATTCAACGCGAGATAGCGATACTTTCTTCTTACATTCGGGTACAGGCGAGGAAAATTGAATTCGTTACCGCGCCGAGGGAGCGCGTTCGTTAGGGTGGTCCGAAGGAATTAAATTCAGATTTTTTTCTGATGGATCTTTCGAGGCAATTAAAAACAAGACAAAGTGCTCGATCAAAGAACTGGCCGTGTACACGCGAAATCTCGAAGAATCGTTCGACCGGGCATCCTTAACCGGTTTCTTCCGCCATATCGTTAGTTTTACAAAAAATCCGAAAAACTCTGAACGCGATCGGTAGCATAATCGTTGGATCGAATTTAGGTAAGTGCAAAGTATTTTCGAAACGCGGGAAGAAGCTGAGATTAACGGAACGCTTTGCCAGGTAGTTTTACCGAGAGTGCCATATAACGTTCACGCGGATTATGAAAAGCGCCAACGAGTTCCACCTTCGTTTTCCTCGCCGGATCTCCCTTTATTTCGGGACACCTCGCCTGCTCGACAAAATGGCGGACGATAAAAATCGGACATTAATCCCGGGTCTCGCGTAAAAAATAAACGGAAGAGGAGAAAGCGGACCGGAGCATCACGCCATCGTGGCCCTTTCGCGTCGGGACCTGGAAGCCTCTTCGTGACCGTTCCACCAAACCGAGCTGGAGGATCGGCGACGTTGTCTAGCTTCTCGCTTAATTCCATACATCTCGTCCGGAGAATATCGCAAGAGTCCGGAATTGACGGAGTACCCACTTTTCGCGCGAGTTCACCCGAGAGTGCCGAGTAATGGCTCGACGGGAATAGCCAACGAGGCTCGCCTCGGCGGTGCCGCCTAACCTCAAAGTTCCACGACTCCATCTCGGGTTCCTCCGCGTCCAGAAAATTCTTCCGGTCGTTCCAACCCGCCTAGATATCGTAGACCCTCAACGACGCTTTAAAAGGCACGCCGGGTGACGACAAAGTGCAAGGTTTTGTCATCCTCGCGAAGTCGAGAGGGAAGGAAGTGGAACTCCGGCGTTTCGAGAGTGGAGCGGGGCAGATTGAGTTGGCTATCCCCTCCTCGTCCGTGGTTCTCAAGATCACGCCATCGCGAGCCCTTTCGCATTCGACCGGGGCACGATGGGAGTTCGCCTCTATTACCCCCCTTTCCTCGCCTCTCGCTCGTGCTGTTATATGCGGCCCCTCGGGCCCGGTTGCCTCGAGCCCCGTCGAGCCTCGCCGGGCCCCGTCGGCCCCCGCTGGCCCCCGCTGGCCCCCGCCGGTCCCCGCCACGCGCCTCGGGGGCCTTGCGCGCCGAACGCCTTTCTTGCGTCGCTTCGATCCCGAGCGGCATGAAATGTTTCGGATCCATCGCGAACCTTCCCCCGTAACGACGTCCGACGCTCTTGACTCGCGATATCCCGCGGGATTTCCGCGACTTCCGAATAATTTCCCAAGAATTTGTGAACATCGATAACGCTGGACCGCGGCGCGCGACGCCACCGGAAGATGGCGACTCCGTTTTGTATCGAGGGCGAGGCGAGGTCGAGAGAACGTGGACGTTTCATCCCGAAATTCGATTTTAAAAGTGCAACCACGTTGCCGATACCCACGAGCGGACGTTCTCCGTCGCCTTATCGATTGACCATTGCCCCGGGCGATTCCTGTAGCGAGTCTTTCCCCGGCGTGTTACGCCGTCGCGTATGCGCGTCGCGTGCTCGGCAATCGCTAATTACCAACAAAACGGTGACTATTCTCCCTCAAACCGTTTCACGGAAACGGCAAGTTTTGTTGTTAACTTCCCCAGTCCTTGCCGCACCTGCCGGGTGCTCACACATTACGGCAATTGCGGCAATTGCGGCACGTCGTTCGAGGGATGCGCCTCGTTAGAAATTTTCCGAAAAACGATGGTCGATGTCGGGACCGAATTTCGTAAGGCATAAATCCGAGCCTCGCGTCCCGTAGGGATAAGCGACTAAAACGCGTTGCCGCTTAAGGCGAGGAAAAGCGCAGGACATTCGGAGGGTGAAAAGACCTATTCTTCGACGAGGACTCGGAGGTTGGTGGCCTAACGAGAGCCTCGCCGCCTGCATCCCATTTACCTTCCATGGCCGATAGCGGGCATTGATCTCTCCGGAGAGGACCCGGTGCCACCGGCGGATGCCGGAGCGACGAATCTTACCTCGCGACCGAACCTTCATTTTTTCGTCGGAATCGACAGAATTTGGAAAAAAAAAACCTGGCGAAATCGCTGTTTACGATT